TTATAGCAAAAATTGCTGGCCGATTCTTGACAAAACAAATAAATAATGTATACAATATCTTTATAAATGTTAAAGGACAATTAGGGGCAGAATTCTATATCTCAAAAGTAAGAGTATTTACCACCTGCCAGACAAAAGTCAAACTGCACATTTAAATGTCACTTGCAACACTTTCAAAAGCAGAACTTCTGCGAGGCTGTTAATTTCTAACTTTAGTATATACATAAAATTTTACATTTTAAAGCGGATTTCAAGATAGGAGAGGATTCTAGCTATTGCTTTATTTTTACTTGCTTAGCGTCAGATCCGAGTCGAGCTGTATAAGTCGGGCTCAGATCTTATAGAATTTAATCATCAACTTTTTTTATCTCCATACTTAATTTATCCCATGCCAGTTCAAAGAGTATTTTACATTATTAATATATATTTACACTAAAATTCTTGGTGTTCTTAATCCGCATAAAAGGGAATTACCAACGCATTTTTTTTAAGGATAAGCACAAAAAACACAAGCCACAATTACTAAATGCGTGGTATTTTAAGCAAACTGTGCAAAACAAATATGGGCGTGCCTGTGGGCGTTTAGCAAATGTTGATGCCACGTATTGTGACCAAGACAAACGAGGGGCGATCGGAGGAGCAGTCAATTTGAAAAAATCGATTAAATTCGAATAAATGTTGAGGGCTGGGGGGTTAGGCAGATTTAAAAACTCATAACAACGTGGCAACACCTCCTTTTGTATTTGCTGTCCGCACGCCGAGGTGTCCAAAGCCATGTGTGGGGTAGTCGGTGCCGTTGCCGGTACCGAGTCCAACTCAGCCGCTGGCAATTGAGTCGGATGAGAAATATTATTTATATTTGTATTGCAGAATTTATGACCCGACGGTGGGATGCTGAGCCACTGGATCCACACACACACATATATTCACATATATTGACAAATTTCCGCCGTGCTGCTGCTGCTGCAGTGGGTCTCCTTTCCTCTCTGAACGCAGGACATTGTGTTTTCAGTAGCTGGCGCTAGGTACACAGAACGGTGGCAGTGCGGCCGACAGGAACATGGATTCGCCAAAAGCGAAACCTAATCAATATACACTCGAATTAAAGTCCAAAAGGCAACGTCGAGTCGTTGAGTGGGGTCGATATGTTGTTGTGCGGTGTTGATTGCTTTGCATGCATAGCTACACACACACACACACACAGATACACACACCCAATAAGAAGACGCATTAATAACAACAATATCTGATTGAGTGCATTTGGGGAGTGGAGTTCATTCACAATGGGTGTGTGTGTGTGTGTGAAACTCTTAAACACACCACTTGCATATCCAATCAGAATGCATTCCATTAAATGTGACAAGTTGCTTGTCCAAATAAAGTCAGATCGAGACCAGATCAATTCCAGACCAGATCCTGATCGAATGGGGGTATCAAAAGGATCGTGTTCAATAAAATGCAAACGCCGTCGCCGTCGCCGTCTCGCAAACTGATTGTAATCAATTTTGTCCACTAACAATGGCCAGAAAAGCGAGGCCAGTCGCCAGTCAATCATGAATCCATCATCGTCAATGGCGATTGTGTGAATACTGCGGATTGTGTGGCTGTTGGCTGCGGCAGTAAGTTAGTCAGTCAGTGACTTCTTGGTGGTTAACATGGCGCCTGAGTTTGTCGTTTTGGGAATTGGCATCAGATCAGATCAGCAAGATGATCATCATCAATGAGTTTGACGCTGACGCTGATGCTGTTGCCATTGTCTCTCTCCTTTTTTACTTTTTTTTTTTTTTTTTGGTTGGCGGCGTCTGCAAATGCACGTCATTCCATGCCACATGAAATGTCACTCAAGCGAAGTTCAGCAGCCATCCATCCAGATCTCACCGGTCGCCTGCACAGTCCGCCAAACAATTCAATTGGAGTAGCGAATAAATCACACAGAACGGCGACTACGATGGCTCCTGGATCGGATCGTGAACCGTCGCGTCGGCTTAGCCGTCTCAGCATTTTCTTTAATGCCCTATAGTTAATGCCTGCAGCGGGTAAATTAGGCCAATACCTTAAGTTTTTTAAACTTAGTCTTTCTGTTAATTCTCCTATGGGTTTTATAAAACTAAAATTTTCATAATACCCAGCAAATAATTTTTGTAAAGTATAGTATTTAGTTAAGAAAAAAAGAATATTCATAACAAAATCAATATATTGAGTACTTTTCGAGTATTTGCTGCTCAGGGGGAGTTTTTCAACCCATCTTCGTATTATTTGATATATGACTTTATATTTCAAACGCATCGTTCTCCAAACAATTAATTATTTAGAAAAATTTTAAGCAGAGAATCCATATAATATATTCTGCTTTGAGTACTTTTCGAGTAGTCAGGATACAGCATGTCTTGTGAGCGAGCTCTTTAAGCCCATATTGCTTTGACTTGACAGATCGTTGGTGGGTTTCGTTGGTAGTTACGGCACAGGAAATGGCTTCGGCCAGTTGAGCATTTTATTTTGTTTACGATTTTCGTAGTTATCTGGGAAGTATTTCGAACGTCGCTAATTTGACGACTGCACGATTGCATCGAGTCGCCTTGCAGCACAGGAGGTGGAGGTGGAGGTGAACTGGTCCTTGGCCGAGGCTCCCGTCGATGCATTTACAGATAAGCTCAATTTCGTTTTTGCTGACACTTAAGCGGCGGGCCACAGACCCTGGCACACAGAACCTCCTCGGAACGGAGCGGTTAGGAACGGCGGATCGTAGCCGTGCGGAGCGGGGGTGTCTACTGTTGTTGCACGTTTTTCGCTGGCCACATCGAAATGAAAATTCCAAGCCAAAGTCACGGAGTTAAGTTTCTTTCATTCGTATTTCTTCAGATACGAACTGTGCTTATTCCCATAACAGCTTAGTCAGCCAGCTTGTAACTCCACAGATGGATTATAATTATTATAATCCGCATAGAAAATGACCACAAGCCAAAATATTTCTTGTGATTGTTCTATCTATTATTTTCTGCGGCACAGACAATATTACATGAATTCGAGCCCGAACTTACCAGCTTTTCATTGATTCCATTGAACTCAGTCTGGGATCAAAATGTATAACATTCAATATTGAAGAGAATATATTTTTTAAAGGGTATACGACAATTCGGCGAGTTGAACAGCATCCCGGGCTGCTTTCGTGTTGGACTTAAAGCATGCGCAGGTAATTGTGAATGACAATAATTGTGAAGACATTCAGTTGGCCTGGACGGAGGGATTTTGTGGACGTCCCACTGACCAACCATTCGCTGGAACGTGCAAAACGTTGGCGCCAACAGCGCCACCCAATATATGCTGGCCAGCAAGGAAACGCGACAAAAAAGCACAGACGAATTTTTGTCAATTTGAAGACAGAACCTGGCCAAGTCCGAGAGCTCAAAGCGCATTCCCAGTATGGCAAAAAAAAAAAAACAAAACAAAACAAACACAAAAACTGCGCTTATTGGCAGTGGGCAGTACTCGTTGGTGGCACGCCCCGTATTTAATAACTTTCGCCCTAATTCATGTTGGCTGTCAGTGCATCGATTTTTCATAATTAAAACCGAATTGGGAAACTGTGCAAACTTGTAGGAGGAGGCGCATCTCCGGCGTCTTTGAAATTGAATTTGTGGTTAGTCGACTGCAGGCTACCGCTGTCGACCACGTTTGAGGTGGTGCCATAATAAATGGTTAGAGGTGGATAGAGTTTGCTTTGCTGCCAGCGTGGTGGCCCCAATGTTATTCCAATCGAAAAGCACGTATCTAAGGTCTTGATCGTGATAGAGATTCATTAATCAAATCACCAAGTTCACTTTGATATTGAGTCAGGGCAACTGTCTATTCGCCTGTGCTCACGGGTTCGAGTGGTATTCAAGGCTTTTAAGAGCTTTGTTTCGAATGAAATTTAGCTTTAAGATTTAACTTAAGATACCTTTATAAACAGCATAGATTACGTATAATGCTAAACTCAAGTTTTCCTATCTCAAATTTTCCAATTTTCCACTAAAAGAATGCAGGGGGAGGATATTGGGATATAATTTGCGACATGTACGTATGTAGATCTGTTCTCTCATACCCTACAAAATATCACATGATCATAAATTCAATGCTCTCTGGCAGAGGAACAATCCTTTCGCATGTCAACTAACCATATTCTTAACAACTCATGACGTGGCGACGGCAATTCCGAGTGAGGCCTGGTGAACTACAGACTAAGTAAGTCACATATCCGCAGGGAGCTAAATAAAGAGACACGCGGTCGTACTTCTGGCAGAGTGTGCGCAGCAGGCGGCACTTTTTGATATACATATATATATATATATATATATATATATATATATATATATATATGTGTACATATGGATTTCAAGAGAATATTTTGGTGACATTTATGTGCCGCTGACGGCCAATGGCGGTAGCGACAACACAGAGCTCTAATTAAATTTAATAGCTACGCAACGGCATAAAATTGAGCCAAGCCACCAACGAGGCGAGGTCCGAGGCGACGTGAAGACGTCAAGATTGGGGTCGTAAACACATTTGATTTGATTTCTGAAAAGGATTCAGTCATTTCACAGTGAAGCCGTCGTTATCGCTGCTGCGGCTGCTGTTGATTGAATTGTCACCTCCATTTAATGACAACAGCCGACGCAGAGCAGTGCCAGGCGGTATTCCAACAAGTTCTATTCGTTTTGATGTTTCTACATGGGGACAGAATTAGAAGACACTTGGTGAAACGGGCGCCACTGCCGCCGATGACATTTGCTTTGGGTTAAGTTTTATTATAATACGGCTGCTCTGTGTCTTTGCCAAAGGTGTCAGACGTTTTATTGCTGTTCTTGACGACCTGTTGAAAAGTTCATGGTCACTTCTACAATTTTACCTTTGAGGTTTTAGCGCTGGCCCACTGGGAATCCGAGGGCAAGGAAAGACACCATATCATTCATCAAAAGACGCCCGCCACAAAATTACTTTCACCCTTGCCCTGCCTTTCTCAAAAGCGGAAAAGGCGGATATAAGTGAAAAAGGTTGAATTAATTGGGTAGCAAGATCCGAGATCCGATGGCGATGGTATGGCAGATTAAATACCAGCACAGTTGCAGATAAAAACTCTTTTTCACACACAAATGTCTTTATAGCTATTAGAGATATCAAAAGGCGACGGCGCAATACTCTGTTCTAAGTGAATTATCTGCTTACATATTTTTGCGCACAAGCTTATAAGTATACAAGAATTTTAAGTAGAGACTAAGCTTTAAGAGATCTGAGGGAAGGATTTTTATGCGAATAATCTTAAAGGGAGATGATATATATGACAAACAATTTGAGCTTTGCATTACCAATTTGCTGTTACCATAAATCGAGTTTGATTGGATAAAAAAGCAACGAATTTCTCTAGTCTAAACATAAGCTGTAACTAACTGATGTATGCAAGTTTATAATTAACACGATCATTGCCAACATGTTCGTACTACTACACACTTTAAAATGCTGAAACATTTACTCAAATAATATACATACACAGGTGTGAGTGTGTGTACTATGTAAATAGAGGAAAGAGTTGAAGGTTGAAACAGCAGCTACATTTGTGTCCAGTCATTGTCCATATGCAGCGAAAAAAATAAAAAAATATTTTTAATTTGAATAAGTAATTCGAACAACAGCCAAAATCAAATAGGAAAAAAAAAAATACACACACAAAACTGAAAAACAAGTCAAAACAAATGTGAAACAAGGAAAATTCAATTTACTCGCATGTCAAACCGAATTGCCGGCTAGGTCAAACACGTTGATGGATGGATGGATGCATGGCCGCCTGAATGAAAGGGACGCACAACAACAACAGCTACAAGCTGAAATGGCAAAACGTTGCATGGTCCGCTATTGGGCGGTCCGCTTGCCCCACCCAGCTAACCAGGCCAGGCACAGGCACAGGCACAGGCACAAGCAAACCCAATCCAACCGACGGCAAACAATGGTCAAACTCGCGCTTCATTCCACGTGCATGTTTCGAATATTCGTATGAGTGCAAGTGAGTATGCATAGTTCTATTCACTATATTTACATATATGAATTGAAAAATAACAGAAAACATAAATATGAATTGCCAGAGGAAGGTATGTTTTTAATTAATACAAAACTTGTTACATTTCATAAGCGCCTACTTTTCGAATATATGCTAGATATTTCGATGGAAGGAGGTATCAAACGTTTTGCATGCCACATGTGAAGAATGAGTACTTGAAAATGTGCAGCATACTCGATGCAAGGCCTAGACTGTAACTGAATTCTAATATCCATTGGAAACTAGTCTGAATGCTTCTCGCGCCGCTGATTGCGTATGGCAGGCTAGAAATTTAATTAAACTTGGAATGCAAACAACTTCTAACTGCGGGCAACAGACAATTAAACAAACATCTAACTGAAATGCATATATGTATATATATATATTATTCATAATAAAACATTTTAAAATGAAATAAAAACAAACAATGGTAGGAGCTGAAAGGGGAGATTGAGGCAGTCAGGTCTATGATGACGAAAAGAGTCGCATAAAATCATGAATTTTTATCCGCTGAATCCATTGAATTTGGGTAAAAAGGGTATGTTTGTGTTGTGCAAATGTATGAAGCAGGCAGAAGGAAGCATCTGCCACCCAAGTATATATAGGCTTGATCATCATCTCCGACTAGAGCAGACTTTTCGGGTTTTTACTCATTATTAACGAGTTTTGGGTATATATTAATTATATCCTTATATATGTCCCTATAATTTGCCATTATCTAGAACTAATTATTATATGTTTCAATTGATTAACTAAACTTTCCAAAACTTTAAATCATAAATGAGACAGATAAGAAGATACCAGCATGCACAGGGCCATAAAATTGGCAGAGATTGGTCGAGAGCCAACACATCGAGTTGAGATATTAGGTTAAGTGACAATCGGGGTCTGATTTATTGCTATTTCCGTCTCGTTGCGATTTCAGTGATTCGGGGAATTGCAAGCGCCGCTAATGAGCTGCCTGCCATTCGTTCACACTTGCCGCCCAGTGAGCGAGCAGGCGAGCGAGCGGTAGGGCTGGACGAGATGCGCACATATATTAATTGATTACACTTATGGCATTCAAGATTTGCATATAACGCGCGGAATCCATTATTTCCGGGAACATTGCATTTGTACGGCAATTAGTTCATATAAGTTGAGGCATAATGCTCGCTTATACGCGTTCACCATGCGACTCCATCGGATTCGGAGTCGCAGTCGGACCCATGTTTGCTTGCGGCTGGCATAAATCATCTTCCGACTGTGCCGACGCCAGGGCATGGAAATTTTCTTTGGTAGGGGAACTGGGACATAAAAATATGTATACATATATATGTATGTGCATGCTAAGGGCATGGTGTAACCGAAAATTTACTCTAATTGAGAGACACCGCAACGGCATGAGTCCCAATAGATTTAGACGTTGTCGTCTTTTAGCAAATATTTTTGGGGAAAATTCGAAGAGTTTCTCACAGGGCGCCCACCCGCACGTAGTCGTAGTCATTTCACTGTGTCGACCCTTCGATTTGAAGTGCTGTCATATATTAAAAACGAGAAAAATTAAAAGAAAAACAAAACTTGTTTATAATTCTTGGGTAACCTAATTTATGGCCATTTAATTTGACATTTATCTACAACAATAAGTTACCGCAAAATTGTTCCATGGCTCTGTCAAAATAATTCTATTTCTTAACTCAATTTTTTAATTATTTCTGACATTTACGTAGGCAATCGGAACTTTTGGTATATATATTTATATAAATAGAGAAGAGTTTTCTCAGACCCACTGATTGATTGGTGATCAATTCACAGTTCCGGAGGCCATAGCTTCCCAAGGAAATAAGTAGGTTAAGGTTTAAATATTCCACCTATAAGTTTCCACTTGAAACCAAATGTGCTTTGCAATCGTAAGTCTTTGTGTGAGCGTCGGACTTACAATCGCGAGGGCGCCGGTTCAAATCTGGCAACAATTTCCCATTCCTACAATTGTGTGAATGTATGCATCGAAATTGGGCTGCAATTGGAGCAGACTTGTTGTTTAAGTTAACACGAAATACACAAGCAATTTCGTCCTACTTGCATTTACAACATTATTTGTTTGACCCGTGCGACGCCGGTTAATTTCTTCTGGTACACTATATGTATGTCTAACATTTGTAATTTGATTAAACATGTGTTTTGCCGGCGACAATTGCCAACTGGGCGCAGTTCGTGGGCGGAGTGTAAAAAGCATTGCTTAAAATCATTTTGATGAGAGTACAAATATAAACATGTGTTCTGTCAAACGCTTGTTTTCAGTTGTCTGTCCAAAATGGAAATTACATGTACCAGAACATATATTCATATACTTATATATATATATATATATATATATATATAATTAAGTTTTACACGTTAGGTTACTATAAAAAAATATATTTCAATTTATTATTTTCACTTAACGGCTACTTTTGTTGAGTACATTCAGATTTGCTTCCCGAATATGAACTGATTTATCTAACTGTTGCGGTCGCTTAGCAAACTTCGCTTTGAGAGAGTTTGAGTCAAAATTGAGTGAAGTTTGAGCTGCGTCAGCAATTATGCGTGGGATAGTACTCTGATGGGAACATTGACAGTGGCGTGATATTTAGGGTGAATTGTTTATGTCTACCAAAGGGGGACAGTTTGATCTTGACCAATGTCGATGTTATCACCAGGCTCTTTGTTTACAATATTAGAAATGTTTATAATTGTGCTTATGCTTATGTGCTAAGATATGTTAAAGGGTGGGTGCGACTATGGATATGTCACTCCCCCAACCATTAGAAAAGTGCCTGTCCTCAGGTGTTTAAGTTTGGATATAGTGTAACATTTTCTTCTTTTACAATTGGTATATCTCCTATTATTGTAGGTGTTTCTTCTACTTTGGGTTTTTTATATTTTATAATTAATTTCTTAGGTATGCTTTTGAACTTATATGTCAAATACAGTGTTAAACTTATTAATATGATTACAAATATGGTTATTGTAATTATCTGGAATACATTGTTAAATTTTGTATGTGCATTTATAATTTGTTTCGTTTGTACAAACGAAAGTGGTTCTAATTTTATAACATCATTGCTTACGTAAATGCTTTGAGTATAATCTAACATATTGTTTGAAATTGAAATTTCATTAATTTGCAATGAACAATTAAAGATTTTTATTATATTGTTTCCTTCTATTGTTATTTCGTTATTTATACAATTATGGTTTAATATAGTTTTTGGTAAATTCCAAGTTAAAATTATATTTGGTTCTATGTAGTTGATTTGAAAATTTTGCAAAATTTTAGTATAACTACATTCTGATGTTATTTGGTTTAAAATTCCTGTTAAACATTCATTATTAATTAATTTTTTTGTTTCTCTGCTATAAACTTTTTTATCTTGGGTAAAATATTTTTCATGAGCTATTTCTGTCAAAATATTATTATTTTCATCCGGGTATGGAATTATTTCGAATACCGGGCTTTTTATTATTTCTCGAGGAATATGGGATATTATCAGTATTTCGTTTGTATCTGATTTAAACCAAGTGGAAGTTTTTGTATTCAACAATTTCTCAGAATTAACATGCAACAAATAGTCATGTTTTAGTAATTTTGGGTTAAAAATTCCTAATCTTGTGAGCTGCATTCCCATCTCAATGTCTTCTATATATTCTGTAAAGTGTTGTAAGTTAAATATAAGGATATCTAATTTCTTTCCTTTTTGTTTCTCTTGATCTAGTTCGTTCATGATTTCTATTCCTTTGTTTATAGCTTCTATTATGTAATTTAATTCGTTAACCTGAACGCTGTTTTCTGCTAAGTTGCTTATTTTTTGTTCAATTTCTGCTTTGTCTTCTTGATTTAATGTTCCAAATAAGTATTTATATGCTGTTCCTACTATGTTAACTAAACCTCTTTTGCTACGTTTGGCTATTTTTAAGCCGTTTATTTCTCTGTTTAATTTTTCTACTAGGTATTCGATTTGTATAAGGTTATTGAATTCTTTACTTTGTTCAATTAAATTGTTAAAAGTTTCTTCGGTTTTTGTTGAGGTTATTTATTAGTTTTTCTTTATTAGCTTGAGTGTCATACTCTGGTGTACCTGCATATATGAATATGTCCGCTGGTGTTCTGTTAGTCGTTTTGTGCTTTGTTTTATGATTGTACGTGTAGAGTATAGTTTCAAATTTTGTAAGTTTATTTTCGACGTCTGAGTCGCTGTTAATGATTCTTAGTTTTTCGTTAACTGTCTTATGAAATCGTTCTACGTCGGATATACCGTTTTTACTAGTGGTTATATTAATATTTACTGCTTCTGATTTTAGCCATAATTGTAAAGCTGTGCACATAAAAGCTGAGTCTTTGTCTGCCTTTATTTCGATGGGTTTACCCATTTGGTTGAACACTTGTAATATAGCTCGTTTGGTTTCTAGCCAGTCTTTACTTTTTATATCTAATAATGATGCAAATTTTGAATAGATATCAATGCAAGATAAAAATTGTTTATCTCCTGCTATGTAAAAATCCATTACATATTTTTCTCGGATATTAGCGATTTCTGGAGTTATTTCGAAAGTTAATTTTGTATCTCTGTGTTCTGTTTTTGCGATGTTGCAAATCTCACATTCATTTATTAGATTTTGAATTAAATTTTGATAATCTGGGAAATAGTGGGTTGCTTTGAACCAATTAATAGTTTTTTCAATTCCTGGATGTAATAATTCTTTGTGCTTTTTTAATATTAATTCTTTGAATTCTGCGTATGTTTGAAGGTCTATTAATTTTGTACTAGTTTTCATTGCCTTTGTTGAATTATTTGGACTTATTATTTCTAAGTAGGCTTCTTGAAAAATTGGAAAATCTGCTTCGTTGTGGAAGTATAGCACACTTTTCTTTGTGCATAAGTATTCTGTTATTAATTCTTTGGCATGCGTATTAGTCATGTCTTTGTACGTAATTTTTATGTTGGTTTTGTGAAAGTAATTCGTAACTTTTGTTTCGTTCTCGGTTCCTTTTTCAAATTCTATTTGTCGATTATAATAATTAAGTGGTCTTTCTGTGATTTGTAAATGGTTACTGTTGTCTTCTTGAGCACTATGTATTGTTGCTCTTGTGCTAATTGTATCTTCGCCTAAGAAGTTTTCGTTTAATTGAATTCTGGACAGAGCATCTGCCACATAATTTTCTTTTCCTGGGACGTATTTAATTTGGAAATCAAACTCATTTAGCTTGATCTTCCACCTTTGTAATTTCATGTTAGGTTCTTTCATATTATTTAACCAGACGAGTGGTCTGTGATCACTAAGGATTTGAAATTGTCGACCAAAGAGATAGGACCTAAAGTATTTAGTGGCCCAAACGATTGCTAATAATTCTTTTTCAATCGTTGAA